GTCAAAGCGTTAAATGCATTTCATCGGAAAGAAACGAAAGTGGCGTGCCGTGATCTGTTTTTGCTTTGTCTCGGGCTGACCGATTTTATTCCGTTCATTGCCTCACCCTTTTGGAGAATGGTCGGCGAGCATTTTAGTTGCGCACCTTGTGAATCATCACCTCGACGAGCCTATTTTGGTGTTGTTCGGTCTGACGAACTTATCTTTTTCGAATGAATTCTTCATCGGTCTGTGTCAGCGTGGCCTTCCTAAGTTCTATGTGGCCGTTTTGTCCTGAGTTCTATGTACGTACTGAAGCAAGACTTTACAAGCTGTAGGAAGGTCTAGAGTAGATTACATATTGGGGAATTCAACACACATTCGAGGTTGTTTATTAGCTTCATTGGTTTGACTTGAAGCGCAAAATACTGTTTACTAGAATTGAATTCCGTTCAGATCAGTATACAGGAAGAAAATGGAGGCGAGAATGGGCGAAATCCAGCGTTTGTTGATATCCGAGGAATTTCCTACGCTATTAGCGCTGCGGAAAAGAATTTCTTGTGTGTATATGTTGCACTATAAAAGAACATTCTGTAAAAGAACTTCTTGTGTGTGTAATTTGGACTATAAAGGGACAGTTATGAAGAGCAGAAATTTTTTAATTATATCTGTTCACGAAAAGATCTTGTTTGTATATTTTGCACTATAAAAGAACATCCATAAAGAAATGGGACTTTTTAATTATATCTATTCACAAAACGGAAAATTTTGTTTTGCGTTCATGAAATTGGGATTAGTGTACTTATGAGATAGCGCATTATTTTTGAAAAAGGAGAACGAAATTAGTTTAAAAAATTTTATTTTGCAAATCTGCCAAGTTTTGTGCCATAAAATTGAGTAATAAACTTCTAAGGCTGTTACGTGCTATAACTAATTGAAAATGTATATTGTATATTTGAAGGGTTGCAGGCAAGGAATGCGTATGAGGACTTTATTAGTATAGGGTAACTAGATCGATTGTACAGTCAATATAAAGTTGAAGACAGTTAACATAACACATTTGAGTGATTTATCGTGGGACATGGCGAAACAGTTCTCTCAAAAATCGCCGTTGATATTATTGCCACTCTGCTCTGCATTTGT